ATAAGGAATGAGAAATAGCACTTTGCGTTGCTGGCAAAGTTGCCTTTCTTGAAATCCTTACGAAGGGCTTTCAAATTTACGTAATCTGATACGTTTCAGGTGACATTTTCCCTTTCGACTTTGTTTTTACTTACTTTCCTTACGTAGAAAACGTCTTCTTTCAGTTCAACGGATAAAATTACTCACAAACAAAAAATAAACGAAATTTGAAACTGCATGTTTTGATTAAGAACATTAGGACCAGTGGGTAAACATAATAAAGGCGGCTGATGTAGAACATTATAATTTTTTATAAGTCAATAAAAATATTTGTTTTCTTTTAATTTCCTAATGTAATAGCGTAAAAAAACTCTAAACAATATAATATGTAGGAGGATTGGAAAAAGTGACTGATTTTGGGTATCTAGGAAGTCAGATAAGTCAGGACGAAAGGAGTAGTAGGGATATAAAGCAAAGGGTTGCACAGGGTAGAGTCGCCTTCAATAATAAAAAGAAGTCACTTCTATGCTCGCGAACGGTTAATTGAGAAATTCTAAAAAGGTTGTTGAAGGTGTATGGTTGGAGCGCGGCGCCGTACAGATGCAAAACATGGACGGTGGGCGCGGCCGAAAATAAAAGGTTAGAAGCTTTCGAAATGTTGTGTTACAGGCGAATGATGAGGATACCGTGGATAGAGAAGATTAGAAATGAAGAGGTATTAGAAAGAATAGGAGAACAGGGGACTCTGTGGAAGTCAATAAGAAATAGGCGAGATAGATTGGTAGGACACCTTCTCACCAGAAGTTAGGGGAGGTAGAGGTAGACGCAGATTTGATTACTGTTCACAAATAGTTAAGGATGTGGGATGTTCTAGTTTTAGGAAAATGCGAAGATTAGCTCAGGATACGAAAGAGTGGAGGTGCGAGTCCAATCAGTCTTAGGACTGACGACCTTATGATGATGACACTTAGGCAAGCCATAAATCGTTGTTTTATTTTATGATGCCATCAAAAACAGGCACATAGAAAATTGACTGCTCATTAAATGCTAATTAAGTGCCCTTATGAGAAATGAAATTCGCCAGACATTTTCTCATGAATTACTGTTCTATTAGCCTAAGATAAAGTTAGAAATTTAACAAAATCCAAGCTCTCTAAATGCTAAACCGATGCCTTCTAACATGTCAAGCATCTTTTGCTATTCCGGAATGACGCGTTATCAGCAATTATTTCAGTTACAAGGCAACACGTTGCTTCTTCTTTGTTAAAGCACTTACGAATCCTGTAAATGCTAAAACGAACGCCTTCAAGTATTTCACCCATCCTTTACCGTGTTTCTACAATCTTTAACCGAAAAATTGTGTTTTTGGTCATGGCCAACCAAGTGCAGCACAAACATATAAATCTCCATACACTACATTATTATTATATAACTGGAGCACTCGAGAGATCTTCTGTTATTTGTCTAACCCACATCTTCATCATTTTTAAAAACATTGAATCGACGACGTTCATATCATACGTAATAACCATCACAAATCAGTTCTTTCATTTATAGATTTGAAGGACGATTATTCGCAAGGAGTAAATGTTAGGCCAACAATATTTAAGTTTAAAAAACACTTTCAAGTAGGTAATTGTAAAACCATCGAAACTTGGAAATAAAAGAATTTATGACAATTTTTACATTAAGCAGAACCAATTACCCACACCAAAGTTGTAAATAGATTTAAGAAACACTTCATCCATCACCAAAATAACCGACCACTTTGACACTGTGACAATTTATTCGTCGTTAAACCTCATTTAAATTTAGACAAACCACACAAACATATAAATAAACTATTTGGATTCCAATTTCCATTACAGAATCTACCTGAAATTGCCAAATCCGTAAATCGATACAACTTAATTAAAATGATATAACTACTTCTTTTGTGATGTTCATACTCGATGGGTTTCCAATTTTCTCGAAAAATTGAAATGTGATATACAATATTATATTTAATGAACTTATAATCAGTCAAATAACATTAACAAATTTTATTCATATTTCAGCATTTTCGATGTAAAAAATTAATACCTAAAAGGTTATTTTGCTAACATTTATATAGCATTACAACACTAAAAGGTCATAAGACAGTAAAGGCACTGTTGGAACTGCAGCACTTGATATTATCGATAGTATAAATATAGTATTATAGCAGTATTAGCATCTAGCAAGGAGGACCTAGAGATAGCTTTAAATAAAATGGAAGCGGTACTGACAGATCAGTATTGTATGAAAATAAATAAAAGTAAAACTAAAATACTGGTATGCAAGGGAAGAAAAATTAGGGAAAGAGCGAATATAAAGATAGGAGATGAAAAATTAGAAGTGGCTGATTTTAGATACCTACGCCTTTAATAAAAAGAAGTCACTTCTATACTCGCGAACGGTAAATTTAGAAATTCGAAAAAGATTGTTAAAGGTGTATGCTTGGAGCGCGACGCTGTACGGGTGCGAAACATGGACGGTGGGAAAGGTTAGAAACGTTCGAAATGTGGTGTTATAGGTGGATGATGAGGATATCGTGAGTAGAAAAGGTTAGAAATGAAGAGGTACTTATTGGAAAGAATAGGAGAACAGAGGACTCTATGGAAGTCAATAAAAAACAGGCGAGAAAATTGGTAGGACACCTTCTCAGGCATGAAGGTGTAGTCAGACATATTAGAGGCAGAAACAGGAGTAAAGAGGAGTAGAGGTAGACCTAGATTAGATTACTGTTCGCAAATAGTGAAGGATGTGGGTTGTTCTAGTTTTAGGGAAATGCGAAGTTTAGCTCAGGATAGGAAAGAGTAGAGGTACGTGTCCAACCAGTCTTAGGACTGACGACCTTACGATGATGATGTTGAATTACTCCTTTCTTCTTTAATTCTATCTTTATGCTTGTATAATGCTTGATCCTTAAGCTTAATGTCATCTAGTCAGCAGCCGTTTTATGAAGAATCGTTACGTGGAGCTGTACGCTTCGCAGTTCCCGCGGTATGATATTTGAATGTTGTGCGCATGTGCGTATACGAAGCTGCATCTAACGCCGCGAGTTATTAGAGGGTACTGTTGCTTCCGCAGTGCCAACTCTGCCGTGCTGATGAAAGGTAATTTCTTTACGTCGCAATATAATCAGCAACCGCCACCACATACGACCCCAATTTTCTTTTTCCTTTGACCATAATTGCATCAATAAGGAGCCGTTGACAAGGCTGTCGTTGGTAAAAAGAGGGTTTTATCCACTCTAACAAATGGATAGCCTCTACTTCTTTATCGTTTGAAAATTAATCTTCTTTATGCTACTAGAAGCCATCTCAAAAGATTGATCGGTTGTCAGCATCGAATGTTTGATAATTACGCCTCAAAAATTGTCGTAGGTTTTTTCACTATTTATTTTATGGTTATTACCAGTAGTTAATATTAAAAGGTTTTACACAGTATATATATACAGGGTCATCGGAATTAATGCCGAAAATTCACATTGATACTTAGATCCACAAGTACAACTTGGTACAAACAAACTTGTCCATTAACTTGGATACCTGCTCTAGCCTTAATCGAAATTGATCCCAATCTTGTAAATTTTGATCAACAGGGAGTTCTTTATATTTTGAGGTTCTTCATTTACATATTCTTCAGTCAGGATCCAAATGTAGCAGTCTGGGCTGCAGGGTAGTCACAAATCTGACAACCAATGGTAATGCATGTCACTGTAAAGACAAACCTGAGTTTTCCGAGCCTTCTGTGCGGTCACTAGACCAGATAGTCCTCCAGAAGCGACTTTATCTATCCAGGACCTCAATACATATAACTCTGGGCTTTCAACTTCCTTGTTTGTGATTACATCTGCATGAATAATAACGGTAGAAACTTTAATGAGCTTTTGGCAAATTCATCGATCATTTTCTCTATCTACGTATAAAATGTTTTGCATCTGAAATGAACTTCAAATAACCCCTTTTTGGTTTTTCCGGCGTAAAGTGATCCCAGTTCAGTTGATCTGCGGTCTTGTCATCGGTTCATCATAGTTCACGCTTGATCAAATTGATTTTTCTGCAAAACAAACTACTTATCATAACTCCAAAGCTCTAAACCGTGACACAGCATCAACATCTTTACGTAATCCGGATTTACCTCGACGACTCTGTATATGAAACCAATAAAATTGAAAAGGATCATCCACTGCGATGCCATTAAGGAGGATCAAATTCAATTTACAATATTGATAAAAGATTATACTGTCCAAACATAAATAAATTATTTCTGTTTCTCCGTGATTATATTTGTTTTAAAGATAACATTTATCTAAATAACAACTAAAACAGTATATTTAAACTGTTTATTTGTCTTATTTAAGTAAATTTACCAATACAAATAGAAATTTCAGGTTGTCTATTTTGATACGTGACAATTGTAATGTAATTTCAACATTTTTGAAACAAGTAAAAAAGTAGAAAAAATATTCTTCAAAAATAAGTATTAAACCGTTGCAAATATGAATCTATAACAGAATACCTAATTGTACATACCTATCGAAAACGAATTTTCGTAATTTTATCGTTTTAATGAACCAATATGAGATAACGTCTTCACATTGATTTAGAGACATTAATTATACTAATTATCCAAACCTGCAGTTTTTAATTGAATACGTATACTATATATTTATAGTCGGATTTTAATTTCGTGTTTTCTGTAAATTTACCTTATAATTGAAATACAGTTCCGATTGATGTAATTATATCATCGCTCGCTTTTTCCTTTAATTGGAGCAAACCTTTTCACTCAATAAGTACAACTTTATGAGATTTTACACGGTTAGAATGGACTAAATATTTGATATTTATTTCTTTACAAATTTTTAGTGGTATTAAACATATAAAAAAACTCTTAGTTATATTTTTCTTTATTAGATATTTTGAAACTTTGTAGAAACAACTACTTTTCTGCAACTATCAGAACTTTAAAAAGATAATAAAAATGTTAAAAACCTTCGTTGTCGCATTCTACATTTTTATTGGAATCCTTTTCGCTGGTATCACTTCCGCCTTTGTCCTCATTCCTCGTTTCGCACTTCTTGTATTCATCACCTTCCTGATGGACACTTGAGCTTTTCCAACAACAGCAATTCAAACAGCGCATCGAGCATAAAAAACATGAATGGATTAACAACAAACGACACTTACAAGATGTCGCATAACCTTTTAACTAATTAATCAATCGATCAAATTTACATAAACAGTTAATTATTATCGATCAATCGGCTACGCGTTCGTTTTTCGTACGCGATATTTCGTCGAAACCGATTCGTAGAACGAGCGTTTGAAGTTGTGGGTTGACGCTCAACTGTGTGGCGTCCCGACGCTGGAGACAGACTACTCGTTGTCTCAACTCCAACGGTACTGGTGCGCTTCGCCATTCCAAACCAATTCTGCACATGGGTGAATGCAGAACCAAACATCTGAGATAGTCCTGTTATCATCTAAATTACAAGAGGTAAATGCAACTCGAGAAAATTAGAAAAATGTTAAACAATGATAAGACATAAGAGGCAGATTTATTACTGTGTATTGATAAAAGAAATACACTAAACACAAAAGGAAAGGCGTCTTTAATTCTGGATACTGCTGATGTGTTAATAACAATTTTTAATAACACTTCTGTGCCTAAGATATGTCACCACCCTAACTTCAAAATTCAACTTTTCAAAAATATAATGTATTAATATGTCAGTTTTAAATGTCCTGAAAAAATTATTAGAAAAAAAGTTAAAAAAATTAGAAGAAGTGACCGCTTTAAGGTATCTAGAGAGTCAGATAATTCAGGACGGTAGGAATAGTAGCACAGGGTCGAGTCGCCTTTAAAAAAAGAAGTCACTTCTATTCTTGCGAACGATTAATTTAGAAAATCAAAAAAGATTGTTAAAGGTGTATGTTTTGAGCACGGCGTTGTACGGGTGCGAAACATGGACAGTGCGCGTGGCGGAAAAGAAAAGGTTAAAAGCGTTCGAAATATACGGTGTTACAGGCGAATGATGAGGATACCGTGGATAGAGTTTAGAAGTAAAGAGGTATTAGAAAGAATAGGAGAACAGAGGACTCTAAAAAAGTCAATAAGAAATAGGCGAGATAGGTTGGTAGGACACCTTCTCAAGCATGAAGGTCTAGTCAGAGACATATTAGAGGCAGAAACAGGAGTTAGGAGGGATAGAGGTAGACCTAGATTAGATTACTGTTCGCAAATAGTTAAGGATGTGGGCTGTTCTAGTTTTAGGGAAATGCGAAGTTTAGCTCAGGATAGGAAAGAGTGGAGGTAC